CTCTATTGAATAAATGAAATGAACTATATTGAAGATTTTCCTTTTGTGTGTTAAAGGAAAATTACTTTAACCAAGAAGCAGATTTCAAAGACTTGATTTTTATCAGCATTTAAAATATTTGCAGGCATAATTTTGCCCTCACAAACAAACAAAACAAGATTTTTGCCAGTGTTATTCCTACAACCAGCTGTAGCACAAATGGTAGCAATTGGACATCTTTCTATCTGATCCATAATCATTTTAAAGTGAGAGCCTTTGGAAAATATACAGGTACTGACCTCCATTAATGCACTAATTTAACACTGAATCTACCAAAGTTATGTTTTAAAAGGGCCTAGCTATATCTGAATGATTTAGAAGTTGCTATTATTAACAATATATAGAATATTTCTGATGAAATAATAGACAGAAAATTAAAAATAAAAATGGAAGGGGAAAGAAGAGATCCGGTTAGTACTAAAGTAATCTTTATGTGCCAGTTCCAAAACCCACTGTGGTCACTGAGAATCTTTCCATCAGCTCAAATGGGCTTTGGATTGGGCCTCACAAGGTTGGGTTTTTTTTTCTTTTATGAGTCTGGACCAGTGTCCTCGATGTGGCCCGTGAAACCAAGGTTCAACAGAGCCAATGGGAGCCGCGAGGCTCTGTAGCCACAGCGCCGGTAAATAAACACACCAGCGCAGCTAGTTAGCAGCTTTCTCCAAGTGGTTTCATACATCACTTTGAGAAATGCTGGTCTAGACATAGATAGCACATTTCTGTTACTAGTAAAGAATCTAATATTATGTCTTTAATAAGTGCTAAGGACACATTGTACAAATAAACTCAGTATCTTCTTATTTCTTCTGTTTGTAATCATAACACCGTATGAGCAGCTATTGAAAGACCAGCTATTGAAAGACCAATAATTCTTGTTACGTGATATCATGATACAAAATGTAAAGAATTGATTCATAGGATTTTGCATTGCAATGCAAAAGACTTGAGTCAGATGATCATACTTGTTTCTGACATAGTGTGTAGGAGGACACCTAATACTGAGGGATTGCACTGACAACCTCTACATCTGGTCTAATAACTGTTTATCTTTTCCTAGCCTCATTAGAAAAGTTTCTGAGAATGCATTTTGGATGAGTTTATTCTTTGGTCAAGCTGTTCCTTCACACTGAATATAGTTCTCCAGACACTGAATTCAAAGGTAAGGCAAGAAGCTCTGACAATATTCACTTCCACAAGGGCGAGACTAAATCAGTCAACTTATCAATTAATCAATAAACTGTAATACATCAACACTTGAAATGGAGAATAAAATAGCAAGCACTGGAAAAGAGGAAGAAGCTGGGTTCCTGGGTGGTTACAATGGAGGTGCGTTATGTGGATACTGGAAAGAATTTGTTTGAGGTTAAGGGATTGTCTGTAAGCAACAATCAGCCTTTCCCCCAAGGCCTCTCACTCTCAGAATCGTCCAGGAACCCACCCCTGCAATCAGCCCCGGTGCCAATTCTACCCACACATCTATACCAGCGATTTCATCACTGGCCAACCACATCAGCCACCAAATCAGAGGCTCATTTAACTGCACATACACTAATGTGATCTATGCCATCAAATGCCAGCAATGCCCCACTGCAATGTATATTGGCCAAACTGGACAGTCTCTAAAGGAAAGAGTTAATGGACACAAATCAGATATCTAAAAAGGCAATATACAAAAATCTGTTGGAGAACACTTTAATCTGCTTGGACACTCATTAATGGATCTTCAAGTCACCATTTTGTTTTAGGCCAATTCCACAAGCCAAATACACAGGGAAGGGTTTGAACTTAACTTCATTCACAAGTTTAATTATTATGCAAATGGTATGAACCCAGATATCAGCTGGCTCTCACACTGTCTTCCACATCCTAAAGACTTAACCAGATAGCCTAACAATTGTTCTTATCAGACTCTTGTAACTATTTGAACTATCTGCTTTACCTATCTACTTTATCTACCTTAACAGCAATGCTAACTACCTTACCCATTAAAAAGATAGCTTCCCCAATTATCACCCCTAATATCATTATCTCATAGACACTAACCGTCCTCCTCCTCCCCCCGCTTCTGTTCTAAAATCTGATTTGTCAATTTTATATGTGTTCACTTTTTTTTATTGTATCCTTTTGGTATGGCCAAATTTATGGTCATGCCAATTTTCTTCCACTATTTGATCTGAGGAAGTGGGTCTGGCCCACGTAAGCTCATCACCTAATAAACCATTTTGTTAGTCTTTAAAGTGCTGCATAGTCCTGTTTTTTGTATCTACTCGCTGTCTCTCTTTTTTTTCTTTCCCTTCTTTTTTCTCTTTTTTTTTTCTTTTTTCCTTCTCCCCCTCTCTCCCCTTCTCTTATCTATTCTTGAATCTGGACTTCTAATACTGTCATCTGAAGAAGGGGGTTGTACCCACAAAAGCTCATGACACCATCTACATTTTTTGTTAGTCTTTAAGGTGCTACTAGACTATTTGTTGTTTTTTAAGTTTTTCCTGTTACAGATTAACTCGGCTACCCTTCTGAAACTTTCCTTCATTATAAGTAGCCTCTAGACTATGCCACGGCCATTGAGGCTTTATCTCCCCTGCCTGTAAACCAGATTATGGAGGGGAGGGAATAGCAGTACACACCAAAGTACTGCACTGTAACTCCCCCATGTGGATGCTGTGGGTACAAACAAGATCAGCTGTTCCCATTAGAAGACTACGTTAATGCAAGCTAGGAACCTTTTCATTTTGGCCTGCAGCAGCCACAAAAAACTTTGGTGTGCACTGCTAGTCACAACTCTGCAGTCCTACAGATGAGATGAGTCCTGAGAGAGGACTTGATACATGCATCGAGAATGCCCGAGCAGTTTTCAGTGAAAATGGTTTGTAATGGGTAAACTAAGGGTACCTCTACACTTACTCCTGGTTCGAACTAGGGATGCAAATGTAGCCAACTGAAATTGCTAGTGAAGCATCAATTTAAATATCCCGTGCTTCATTAGCATAATCTCTCCCACGTGCTATTCTGCTCGCCATCTGATTTGAACCAGGAAGTGCGCTCCGAGTAACATTAGTTCGAACCAGGGGGTTTGATTCAACTAACACATCCCGGAGCGCACTTCCTGGTTCAAATCAGCTGGCAATCAGAATAGCACACGGGCAAGATTATGTTAATGAAGCATGGGATATTTAAATCGACGCTTTATTAGCTATTTCGGTTGGCTACATTTGCATCCCTAGTTCGAATTAGGGAGCAAGTGTAGACATACCCTAAAAGAGCATCTATGAAGCAAAGAGTGCATCATTATGGACTGTTTTCCCTCCTTTAGTAAACCTCTGTGTTCAGTGTTAGAAAAAAGTGACTGATTTACTGGTGTTACATGACAATATTGGGTATTAATTGCATAATCTTCCCAGTACCACTGGACTTCAGAACAGGTAAGCCCTATAGCCCCCATTCATACAACATTACAGTTTCTATAGCTTCATTTCAGGTATCACCCTGACAAAGTCACTCTGTACTCTTCATTCATGATTGCCTTCAAATTATGTTTTCTGAAAACTTCAGGACTATTAAGAAATGTCTCAGCTTCCTGGTGGCATAGCTTTACAGGAAAAGCCATTCCTCTCTCATGAATTTTACAGTTATCCAAGTGTGCTGAATAGGGGAATATTCTGCAATATTTTTATGAGCCACCTGTGTGAGAGACAGCACCTATCACTCAATATTCTGGAAGAGTGGGAGATAAATGAGATGGTGCAGATGAGGATGGGCTCAAGGAAAAGAGGGGATAGTGACTCCCTGGCTTCCTCCAAAAGGAACCTGGTCTAGCCCAAGCCTGCCTCTCTCATACTAAATCAAAGACTTTCAGAGTCTGTATTCCAGGTGACCAAAAAAGAGTTGCCTTGTTTTGTAAAGACTGCCTGAATTATAGAATCTTAGGACTGGAAGAGACCTCAGAAAGTCATCTAGTCCAGCTCCCTGCCCAAAGCAGGACCAAACCCAACTAAATCATCCCAGCCAGGGCTTTGTCAAGCCAAGACTTAAAAACCTCTAGGGATGGAGATTCCACCACCTCCCTAGGTAACCCATTCCAGTGCTTCACCAACCTCCTAGTGAAATGGTTTTTCCTAATATCCGACCTAGACTTCCCCTACTATAACTTGAGACCATTGCTCCTTGTTCTGCCATTCGTCACTACTGAGAACAGCCTCACTCCATCTTCTCTGGAACCTCCCTTCAGGAAGATGAAAGTTTCTATCAAATCCCCCCTCGCTCTTCTCTTCTGCAGACTAAATAAGCCCAAATCCCTCAGCCTCTCCTCGTAGGGAATGTGCTCCAGCCCCCTAATCATTTTGGTTGCCCACCACTAGACCCTCTCCAGTGCATCCACATCCTTTCTATAGTGGGGGGCCCAGAATTGGATGCAGTATTCCAGATGTGGCCTCGCCAGTGCCAAATAAAGGGGATTAATCACTTCTCTAGATCTGCTGGCAATGCTCCTCCTAATGCACCCTAATATGCCATTAGCCTTTTGGCTACAAGGGCACACTGTTGACTCATATCCATCTTCTCATCCACTGTAATTCCCAGGTCCTTTTCTGCAGAACTGCTACTTAGCCAGTTGGTCACCAGACTGTAACAATGCTTGGGATTCTTCTGTCCCAAGTGCAGGACTCTACACTTGTCCTTGTTGAACCTCATCAGATTTCTTTTGGACCAATCCCTCTGCTATCTCTGCAGATACTTACTCAAAGCAGTGCACCCAGAGGGGAAGAGAACAAGTCTCCCACAGGACTCTGGTCTGGCTGGACTCAGTGCAGGGAGTCAGACTGAGACAGGGATTGCTGGCACCTGAAAGCCCAGTATCAGAGTCATGATGGCCACAGGCCTGCTCCTGTGGAATTGTATAGGTCTTTGGGGTCTGGTACATTAAAGGGGTTTCCCAGGAGACTGTCCATGGTCAGGGCATAGCACAGATCCTGTAAGTTCATGATGCCAGGAATAATCTCAAGTCAGAGGTTATTGGGTAAGACACTTACCCATTACATTGATCTAAATCAAGATTTTTCATGAGTGACATAGGATTTTGAGTGCACAACTCTATACATCAGAAAGTGCCCTGAGTTTCAAATGATTAATCACTTATTTTCTGGGACTCAGACCCCTTTAAAGGTGTCTCAAATTGGACACCCAAGAAAAATGAAGGCACCGAAATTCATTAGTCACTTGAAAAATCTTAGCCCGTATGCATTACTAATAGTTTCTAAATTTAGATTCCTATGGTGAGTTACTTAAATTTCAGATAGCTAGAGGGTCACTGGGGTTTTTAGATTATGTCCCTATATACTGCCACATACCAATATGAGAATGCATCTCCCCATTCCTTGTGTGCCATTACATGGATTAATTTTACAGCACTGAAGTTTGGTTGAGATGAAGAATTGGGCTGCTGTCTGGATAGGGTTTTTTTCCTAATGAATTACTTTGCCCACCCTAAATTATAAATTATTGTTTTATAAAAAAATCTATTTGAAATGCTAATTTGTCATGATTGGTGGCATATTTAGGATGGAGTTCACAGTATTTAGGGTCAACACCTAAACAATAAATCAATCTTTAGTAATACTTTAATGTACATCAAATTGCAGTGTATTTCCCCCAAAGATATTTCAGAGAATATTTTATTTCAGGCTGAAGGGACAAGTAGTACTCACAATCTGTTCAAGTTTATTGTGCTTCCAGTAACCACATAAAGCACACTGAAAATATTCATATGGTATATGGCCTTTCAGACAGTCCTGCTTTATTAATTCGTGTCATTTTATTGCCCTAGCTGTGTTTCAAAACGTTGGGTTTTTTGTTCACGGATACTTTTTTTTGCAGGTGCAGCAGTACATAGCATGTATAGTCATCCAACGAGGATGCCCAAAGAGTGTAACCATGACAAGGGTGGAAAAACATTCAGTGCAGATACTTCACATTATGGGGGATGGGAGGAGCAACTATAGTCAGTGGGGACTGTCAGCGCTTGACTGTTGTCAGTTCCAGAAGCAAATTCCTCCTTCACAGAATCCCAGAGCCCAGGCTTCAGCCCAAGCTGGAATGTCTGAAAACAACCCTCGAGCCTGACTCATGAGCCAGAGGCAGCCGACATAGCCAGCTGTAGGGGTTTAATTGCGCTGTAGACACAGCCCCAAGGCATTTTTAAAGAGAAAACCTCCCTCGTAACTTGTAGCCGAGTGATCAGGGCACTCAAATGGGAGAGTCCTGGTTTAAGATGAGGAGTTATCAGACAGGGTGACTGGTCTGTGGGTCTCCCATTTCCTGGGTAAGTGCTCTCTCCATCCGGCTACAGTGTTAGCCTTACGTCTGGGCACTCCCTTATTCTGGCCCAATGACTTTCAGTATTTATCCACAGTGCAATAGCTCCAACAGGAAAGTCTGGGAGAGCTCTGCATCAGAATGGCCCATTGCCCAGCAGTTCATGCGTTCACCTGAGGGGTGGCAGAGCCCACTCCACCTAAAGAGAAGGGATTTGAAGAGGGAACTTGAACTGGGGGTCTCCCACTCCCAGGGAAGTACTCTAAAAACTGGGCTAAGTGTTATCAAGAAGGTCCCCGCCCACAGTGCGCAGATGTTTTGTGTGAACTCATATACAGGGCATGCTCCAGAAACAGTCACTGGCTCAGGTCTTGAATGCAGGTTAGGCAGGAAAGGTCTATCTTCCTTCTCCAGTTTGTGATTCACTCTGGGACTTAGATGAAAGACAGGGACATGGATACCTAACGAGAGGCAGCAGCACACAGGCCAGGAGGCAGAAACAGAAGTGCCAATGCCACGTTTTTTACTGCTGAAAACTAGTTGTCAAGGGAGTTTAGGCTTCTACGCAGTTCAACAGGAGTTTTATGAATTTTACTAGAGCATTGAACTAGGAGCTAGGGGGCTAAGTGGATTTAAGTGCCTATGTACCTTTCATAATGTTGGCCTAAGTGAACAGATGAGATAAAAATGAAATATATTTAATGATTTTTGCCTTTAGTATTTGTAGGTATTTCCTCAAGATTTGATCCCATATGTATGTAAGAATGTATAACGCAAGACAAGCTTGATGTAGACTTGCTTACCATTGATTCTGTATTGGAGACACAAGATTGTGGGCCAAATTCAAACCCCTGCTCATGCAGGGAAATACAATTTGAATCTTCATGTGCCAGTGCAAGGAGTTTGGGGGTAAGAGATTGCAGATTTTGGAGGCTGCATTCATTGCCAGCCCTACAGATATTGGGGATCCAGAGCAGTGTGACCCCCATTCAGTTCAGAGGCAGGCATGTTCCTATAGGGATGGCTCTGAGCTTTGCTGGTGGTGCCACAGCTGACTGGGTGCCCCCACAGTTGATCAGAGCCAGATGCAAAGAGAAGGCAGCCATGTACTCTAGCGGCAGCCTGGAGGTTTTATGCCATGTATGGATGCACACAAGTCAGTGGCGGATATAGAGCAGGGCGAGCGGGTCGGCTGCCCCGGGCCCCGCACTTCAATAGGCCCCGCGCCAGTGCCAAGGGCGGACTGGCCTGGCGGGAGACCGGGAATTTCCCGGTGGGCCATCTGCCAAAGGGCTGGCCGGAAGCTGCTGGAGGAGGAAGGGGGGGGATTGTGGCGGGGTGCCACAGCCCCACACTTTTGAAATTCCCCAGCGCCGGCTAGTACGGGCCACGTGGGGCCGAGGGAGCACATGCGCGGTGTGCTGAATGCCATGCAACAGCTGAGAGGGGAGATGCCCGGGTGTGGCATGGTGTGACGCCACGGCCCGGGACTTTAAAACCATGCGGCCCAGCGTTGCACCGCTCGGTTCGGCATGTGGCCTGGGCCGGGGCCGTGGCCGCCCTGCACACTGTAAGGCAGAAGGTGGATGGCAGAGGAAGGGGCTTGTGTTGAGGGGAGGGGGACAGGTCGGGAGAAGAAAGAAGAGGAGAGACAAATGCCAGGGGACCAAGTGGAGACAATGAGGAAAAGGCAGGAGGGGAGGTGTTAGTGGGAGGGGGAAAAGAGTGAAGCTGGGAGAGGAGAGGGTAAGGGCATTGGTGATTGGGGGTTAAAGGGGGGAGGGGGAGATGCTGGGAGGCTTGAAAGGAGGGGTGAGCGTGAGGAAGGCGGGGATGGAGTAAGGCATGTGTGAGGGCACAGGGGCATGAGGGGAACGGGGGCAGAGGGTGGTGAGGGGGTGGGCATCAGGGAAAAAGAGGGCAAAGGGCGCAGGGGCAGTGAGGGAAGGGGGAGGCACCAGGAGGGTGCAGGGCTAAGGGAAGGTGCAGGTGCCAGGGCATTCTGAGGGTGAAGCAGAAGGGCAGATACTTGCAGGAGAGGAACCAGCACCAGGAGGAGAGAGGCAGGGCAGGTGTGTAGAGGGAGGTGTTAGGAGAGGGGATGAGGAGGGAGTAGCTCACATGATCAATGTGGGGCTACTGGAGGAGTGGGCATGGGGGGGACCCCTTTTTTCTGTTTTTTCTCCAAAGGGGGGGCCCCGCGATATTGTGCTGCCCTGGGTCCTGCAAAACTCTCCTCCGCCGGTGACACAAGTAGACCAAATGTAGCCATTAGCACCAAAAATATTCATCAGAAGAGACAGGTACTCTGTATTGTTACAATTAATGGTTAGCCAGGACTCTGTATTTAGTGACAAAAAAATTAGTCCATGCATATTGTATATAGTGATAAGCAGGATATTTTCAGATTTTTGTATTCAGTTTAAAATCCATGCACAGATGTTTATTATTGTCTGCATGTACTATTAGCTTGTTAAACTAATTTGCCCATTTTCCAAATCAAAATGGAGAATGAAAATGTATGCATAGCTCATGCTAGCTATGTGATAAAAAGAGAGTTTTGATCCTCTAACAGTAATAGCACAAATGGTTGGTCAGTAAAGGAACCTAACCAGCTCATTAAAGAAAAGAGAAAGTAACTCTCATTAGACCAGATCTGGTTCAGATATTTTATTGTTCATTCCCTGCCAGATAACACAAATTGGAAACTGTGGATTTAATAAGTCTTCTTCTCATCCAATTCAAGTCTAGTTAGGTTCTAGAAAACCATCCCATGTAAAACTCAAAAAGGCAACACTAACCAATCCTGGTAAGTTTTTCAGAAGTAGATTTATATACCGGAAATATACCATTTAATACTGATGGCTTATCTACACAAACGTGGTTTGTGGCAAGCTGGAGTGTAAATCTACCCCCTCACTAGACTGTCCATATGGACCCAGCTGCCGCACACTAACAATTCTCCAATGTGCTTTGATTTACTCCGATTTCAAGTTGAGTAGAGCAATCATGATGTTCTCTGAGTCAGATTCATGACCCAGGAGCAAGTAAATAGCTTTGTGCAGGCTTTAGAATGCTCATGACCTACCTACCTACATAACCTGTGTGCTCACAGTGCAAGGCTCCTCCTCCCCTGCAGAGCAAATAAAAAAAGCCTTTGTGAAAAAACAAGACTTTTTATTGGGCAGATATACAACAGGGGAGAGAGACTGAGAAAAGAACCTGGAATGGGAGAAGAGGAAGGGGAGGGGTGCTCAGGGATAGGGCTGGGACTGGTGACTTCCTTGGGTTGTTAAGGTGGCTTTGGCTGCCAAAGAGGTCCCACTGCCCTATGTTCTAGGGCCCCGGAAGTCCCTGGTGGGGCTAGGAGGAGAAGCCATGGGGGAGGAGGGTAGCAGGGAGATGGCTGGTACCTGCTCCATGCACAAGGCCATGTGCTCCATCACCGAAGTGAGGGAAGAGTTCATGCTTGCTGGTCCCGGTTAGTGGCCTGCTTCTGGTGCTCCTCTTCAAGCCTTCAGATGGGGCCTGGAGGCAGGCCATCTACTCCCTCATTTGGTCCTCCCAGGTTCTCTTCCTCCTGTGGATCCTGCAGAGTCATGAAGATAGCGTGGGAGGCCAAGCTCACAGCTGATCCAGCTTTGAAGAAACATTACAAGGGCAGTCATCGCAGGAGCATGAAGCCTAGCCCTAATCTCTGAGCTGACACCAAAGGTCTCGGTTCAGATGATGCCAACGTGCTTTGAGCAAGGACATGTGAACTTTCCATCGGGGCACAGATGTCCCAAGGGAGCATCGCTACACCCACAGCCCAGGGACAAGCATGCATGGGAAGGTGCCAGCCAGGCCAGGAGCCTGTGGGCAGGGCGGAGAGGGGCTCAGCTTCCTTCTGTGTCCCACACATGCCAGGTCAAACACTGGCAGCATCAGACAGAGAGAGAAAGAGAGAGAACATCTCCATGGCTGTGTCTACATTGGCACCCCTTTCCGGAAAAGGGATGCTAATGTAGACTTTCAAGTAGGAATAAGAAGGCTTATCCCCAAGCCAAAAAAAAGCGGCAGCCATGTAAATGCAAATGCCGCAGGGGATATTTAAATCCCCCGCGGAACTTGCAATTCCGAAGTCTACATTAGCATCCCTTTTCCGGAAAGGGGTGCCAATGTAGACACAGCCCTTATGTATTTGTTTCAAGAGGATAAGGCCAAATCCATTCTTCACTCTGCAGGTATGCACAAAGAACAACACTGCCACTGAAAGGGGACAGAACGCTGGTGATTTTAGTTTGCCATGCAAAGAAAGCAGAGTTGTGCTATCCGAGATGCTCTATTATTCATCAGAATTCTTTCCTCTTCTTAATATTTGCCTGCTCGAGGATTAACTGTACTTGGTCACATGAATAAAAATGCAGTTTTAACAAAAATGCTTTTATTTGATGAGCCAGAACTCAAAGCAGGATTATAACAATTTGAATACAAATGAATATCTCAAAATTGTTAATGAAATCCTTATGCTATATCACACAAAAGGCTCTAAAGCATCACAAGTCTGTGGCAGGAAGCGTGAAAAGTATTTTTCACTGTTCAGTGATAATGGATGGGACAGCAGATGCTATCATAAGGACTGTGGTAATGCAGCACATTCCCTAATGGCAGATCTATGGAGGAGGAATCTGAGGGTGGTTACTCCCATGAGGTCCTTCAGCATTTGTGGGATTTAAATTTACTGCTACAAAGAAAACCTTTCATATATATTAACCCACTGAAGCTATGTGGAGTCTGCAGCAGAGAAATAACAAGAGGTGTGGAATCCTGACAGTTTACATATTAATATATTTGACAGGCATATTGTTAATGTATTTGTTAAGCACCATTAGGAAAGGGATAGATAATACAGAAAAGATCATGGTGACACTGCGTACATCTGTGGCAGACCCATACCTTGAGTATTGTGTGCAGGCCTAGCTATAACACTTCAAAAAACCTGTATTGTAGTGGAAAAAGGCACAGAAAAGGGTACCAAAAATTATCAGGCGTAGAGAAGAGTTTCCATATGAGGAAAGATTGAAAAGACTGGGTCCTGTTCAGTTTAGACAACTAAGAGGGATATGATATAGAGGTTTATAATGTCATGAATGGTGTGGAGAATGTGAATAAGGAGGTGTTACACTTTTATATAACACAAGAGTCAGTGGTCATCAAATGCAATTACTTGGCAGTAAATAAAACATACGTAAGGAAATATTTTTTCCACAGGACGCAGAAAAAACCTGTGGAACTCATTGCCAGAGGATGTGGTGAAGGCCAAAAGTATAACTGGATTCAAAAGAAGAGCTAGATAAATTCATGGAGGATAGGCTAATTCAGTGTTTCTTAAACTTTTTAAGACCGAGGAACACCAAACAAGAATTTTTTATGAGGTATACCAAAAGCTTTTGGTTGAGGAAAAATAAAAACACTACCACACACACACACACACCTTGCCCCTTGAACACAGGATGACACTTTTATTGACAACAACAATATTCACTCACTGCCCAATGATAATTTAAGTATCTTTTTAATTATCTTTTGAAAAGTGAAACATCGTTTTTAATCTACGTATCCCAAATATAACCTGTCAATCGCTATCCATTAAATAAAAAAAAAGTTGTCCAACAAAGAAGGAACATTGTATCTGGCCCCCCTCAGCTGTCTTGGGTAACAAGTGAGGGCTAAAGGCAGTGGTGCAAAGACCTGGTTGGGGTAGCGGCCGTAGGGCAGTTCTCTCCCGTAGCAGGTAGGATCCCCAGACCAGCAGCGGAGACAGCCAATCAGAGCTGACTCTGCTGCTGGCCCTGCAGTGGTCCTCCCCTCTGGCAAGGGGCACAACCGAGGTACGGAACTTTCCCAGGCAATTGCAAGCTGGGCGCAGAAGCACATGAGGAGAAACGCAGGTAGCCCTGCTTCGTTTTCTGCCACGTCATCATTCGCTCACCTCTTCCACCCTTCATGAGGAAGCACTTGAGGAGGAACGCAGGTAGCCCCGCCCCATTTCTAGTTGCGTCACCGCTGCGTCACCACTCGCTCACCTCTTCCACTCTTTGCACCACCCGCTGTGTCTCAGCAGCTCTAGCGGCCATTAGTTTTCCTCAAATGGTCGCGTCACACCTGTGAGTTCTCCATGGAACATCAGTGTTCTGCAGAACACAATTTAAGAAACGGGGCTAAT